TAAAAAATCCTATGAATTGAATGCCAATATGTCACAACTAATTATCAGAGAATAKAAGCTAGTATATTGAAATGTTCTCTCCCAGATTTTTTCTACAAAAAGGGAGAGAAGTGAGAAAAAAAAGTTCATGTAACTCGATCACCAAAAATGTAAAAAATCACAGTACTGTATTGCAGAATAAAAATATACAATTGTAAAAAGGAAAATGAATATAACTAATTCTCATGATTGTAATTACTAATAATTCATCAATTAATAAGAATATCCACCACATCTTTAATGACTAGAGTGTGGGTCAGTTTGAACAATTATGTGTCAATCTAAGTAAAGTCATAGCCRTCATTACAGCAACCTAAGTAACATTTGACAAACCAATGCCATTAACAGTACACTGAATTCTCCCATTKGACAGTTCCARCCACAAATCCTCAATGACTCTAAGTATCTTCTGATAATGTRTTATTGTTTGACTGTAYTGYCCTTCAAACAAGAAAGGAGCCATGARATCCTCTAACATAACTAGTTGGAGCCATAGGGATGCTACCTCGCATGGCTGCAGCTGTAGTAACAGCAATCCTAACAATGGCAAACACTTTTCAGATGTCATGTTGTTCCTGTCATGRTTTTGCATCTGAAATTCAGTGGCTTTGGACAAAATAAYTTGCAATGATAGATGTAAATGTTTTAGTTTTTGCAATGGACTGACAGCTTTGAATACAGCTTTGATGTGCTTTAGAGCTGGTTGGAAGTACTCTTCAAACGTTGTATCATTGCCTTGTCTCATGTAGAAATGCTGTTCATGTTGCTTCTCATCTCCATCATCAATAGAAAGTGATTTTTCTAATGATTCTGTTATTGGCTTGACCTTTATATCCCATTCATCAATGAGACTTCCAAGAGAACCTATTTTATTGTGCTTCAGCATGGYTGCCCTGCAGCAGTCTTTTATYACATTAATAACATAATGCCTGGCTTTATTGACATATCTCTGTACTGGTTTACTCCTTTCTTCATTACTCATGTCACCTAAGGATTGATTGTAGCTGAAGTCCATTTGTAAAGAGTAGCATGATAAGTCATCGTCGTCAGAAGATAGACAGCCATTTGTTTCTAATCTGTCATCTGAGTTATGTTGGGAACAAGAAAGTCCATTAACAGAGTAAGATGAATGGCCATTTACTAGCACATCACTTTGCTCAAATACATCCCACAATATCATGTYAACTGGCAAAGACAGYAGGTTTGCAGCAAAGCTTTCTGTGATCCTCTGTACGTCTTTCTTTATATCATCAATTTGATGAGAGTAAACTTGGTCATAAAGCCAACTAAGTATCTTGTTTGTCTTCTCATAGAAGCAATGTTCATAAGCAAGTCTTAGTTTATTCTGAAAACTGCTTTCTTTGTTGTCAAAGTGCTCTGATAGAAGTCTTGTCACCTTCTCCATGTGAAGAGCTACTTTCTCTTTGATTTGAAACAACTTATCTTTGTAAGGATCAACAATGGTTTTCAGCTCTACAGATACATAATCACTGTCTGACATGATTTCTGTTGGTTGCAAACTAACATAAAAYGTTGATTTGCTGAATTTCACGATTTCAGTTTTCCCATTYAACTTGTAAGGATCTTGGCAGATTTCAYGTACCTCTGAACAGAACCTCTCAAATAAAGAACCAATAGGGTGTTTGGGGTTGGAGACTGTTGTAGCAACCCTCTGACCAAGTGTTTGCCATTCTGGCTGCAAAACATTCTGGAGAACTGCAAAAATCATAAAAATGATTTAATATCAATTAATACATGTACCTCAACAGTTAAAATTATCCAAAAGGTATAAATGAGTAATTATTAGGTACCATCAGTAGGTCGAACACCTCTTGCATCTGCATTGTCTGCTATGGCGGTACCATTGTCTTTGAGTCCTGTCAGAATTGAATCCAGTGTCTCTCTCACCATCAAAGCACAGTACTGAAATGTTAATATGAAGAGATCTTGAGTGACAAACACAGAACAAGACAGAACATAACACAACACAGCACAACATAACACAAAACAACATAACAACATAACACAACACAGCACTTACAACATAACACAACACAACACAACAAAACAACATACAACATAGCACAGCACAGCACAACACAGCATAACAGAAAAGTAATCAAATTAACCTGCTGTTGAGTTAACTTGTTTTTCTCCTCTTTCAATGTTTGTAATGTACATCTCTTGTCCATGTAATCTTGTAGAATGTCATTTACTTGTGCTGCAGTCACCTGTGGCAAATKTTCTTTTCTGTCTAAAATCTCTTCTCTGGCAGTTAAGATAAGAACAAGCTTTTTGTCCAGGAAGTCTCTCTCCTGCCGTGCAACAAGTAGTTCCATTGAAGATCTTTTGAGTGTGGTTGGATCAGTTGGTACCAGACCAGCATAGTGGGACTGGGCTTCTGCTAACTGGAAAACATGACAAATTTACAAGATTTAAAAGTTTCAAATATTTTCATGAACAAGTTGGAATCCCATAACACAAATTGTATATGTGTGCACATTTGTAACTAGCTTCACCTTTTCTCGAACTCGACATTCAAAGTCCACTAGGTCACAAAGAATTACTTCTAAGAACTGTTTTGAACACTGACCAGTGCTAATCATCTTATCAATGTCCGGCAGAAAATGCTCTTGCATAGAATCTAATTTTTCTTGGCAGTCCATCACATCCTAAAATCATATTCCGAATTATTCACTTGTTTAATAATCGATGTCTCACCATTCATTCACTCCATATAATTAGATTAACTTACAAAGCATTTGGATTCTAGTTTGTTGACGAGTGCCTGGACATTACTGACTTGCTCCTTCCAGGAAAGTTCTACTTTCTCAAGGTCATTGATATCAAATGAAATCTTTGGCAACACATAACAATGCAGCATTCTGAAGAGGAGCATCTTGCAATCCTCAAAAGACTACGAAAGAAAGAAAAACAATTATTATTAAACATGCACTGTGTTTCACGCTCTACTGGGACAACCAGAGATGTGTAATCAAAACCTGACAAAACATTCCCTCTGTCAAGAAAAGCTAAATAATGACAAAAATATGAGTACTCTAATTAAGACTCAAATGGAAAACCCTATTCTAAGACTTAATTATCATTGATCTTAGTTAACTCCCTGCAATTAAACTAGTAATTAGACTAAGTATGATTGTGAACCTTTTCAATGATATACTTGGCCATATCGTATAACTCTTCTTCCTCGTCATGACCTGAACACTCTTCACTAGACCAGTAAACATGGTCATRATCACTGTCATCTGAAAAACCCAATTTAACAGATAAATTAATTGATAATTGCATTAAATTATTATACTTCATTGCCCTTTAGTTGTGTTTACTTTAATGTTGATATACCCACCTCTAAAGGTTGACCATTTGATACATTTATCATCATAACTTATCAAGATTGAATCTAAGATCATTGTCTTACACCAAATGGCTGGTTCCATGGGAGGTAGATAACCAACCTCTTGACTACCAACACAAGCTGGATGAAAACCATCCTTCAAATGCACACTAGGCAGGCTATATCTTTGAGCATCGTATTCTATATATACTCTCATTCTTGTGTCATGTTTGGGAAATACGTTTCTCAAGAGATTGGCAATTATATATTACATGGTTATGAAATAGTGTCATGTCAAGATGCAAGCTTAAATTGAGGAGCTGGGTAAACGTAGTATCATGTTGTTTCAGGATGGCTTCTTTGATTAAATTAACATGATAATTATTCAGTATACTTTGTCTGTGAATAATAAGTTTTGCATCATTGCTCTTACCATGCACTAAAACGTTTTACAAGTTCTTTTATCTTTCATTGTATTTTTTGCTTATTTAATTAACACAGAAATGATTAGATTCCTTTAAAACAASACTATCATTCATTACTTTCAAACTATAGTTTTTATCTTTCTAAAATACAACATCAGCTTCATGCTTGACCAAGTTTAGCATATATGTAAATTATACAGTCAAAGCACTAGGYATCCCAAATAACATTCCAAGAAAAAATAAACTTGCTAATAAATMCAGGGAACCAAACATGCTCAAGAGAAATATTTTAATTATCTGCCCGTCTAATTAATGTATTGTTAGACAATAACATTCACTAAAATGCTAGAAGTCACAAGCAAGTTACATTTTATTTTTGAATATTATTGTTATTATTACTTATTTTAATAAACTACAAATGTATGTACAGTACCAACATAATTATTGACCCCTTTTCTTTGAGGTTGTCTCCCTCTTAATACAAAACATAGACACGTTTTAAAATGTCAACTGCAATACAGCATTAGGACGCAAACTACAACACATATTTTAGTTGKCTATTCACACTTTACAACTTCAAGCGGGTCAAGGTATTTTTGAAATCAGAGTGTGCASARATATCAGTCTGTGCAATGTGAGATTTGATTTCATGCTTGTGAAGTACAATACCTTGCTAYGTCCTACAAAGTATAATAAATTATTTCCAAATTGGATTCATTGAGAAYTGTGTTTTACAAAATCGATTGTCAATAGTATTATTCAATTAAATTATTATTATTATAAATCATATTGCATTTACATGTATATTTGGCTGAAGAAGGTTGTCCATAATTGAAATGTTGTGAATACTTTGCTTAGAGTATTGACCATACCTTAGTTATAATTAGCTTATTATAATTGTAATGTTTACTGAATAAGCAAAGCAAGAATGTATATACTACATAATGCAAAGTCCTAAAACTGTGAGCAAAGGTCCACCAGAATCCTTTGTGCCATTTGGAACTCAACTAAAGCCCAGCCATGGCAMCCAGACCCCAGGAAAGGTGCCATGAGATCTTCTAGCATTGCAAGCTGYGGCCACATTGATGCAGCATCACAYGGATCCATCTGTAACATCATAAGAATCAGCAGCGGCAGGAGATCTTCTGCCGTCACAGCTGATGAGAAGCTGTCTTGTCCATCTCGCATTCTCAATTCTGAAACTTTAGCAGCAATTTTCCTCAGCGAAGCTGTCAGACACTTCAGCTTTGCWACTGGACTGACAGCTTTGAACATGTCCTTCATGTATTGAAGTGCTGGGCCGAAATGATCCTCAAAYGTGTCAYCTTGTTGTAGTGTGCAACTTGSTTCRGGTGATTTTCTTTTGCTAAGTTCATAGTCGCTTTTTGAMGGCTGTCTTTTAATGGAATTACCATCTGTTTCATCTTTACCCTGCCATTGGTCAATTAAGTTGCTAAGTGAKAGTTTGCTATTTGTGGGTGCACTTAAACTCAATTGGGCTCCACATGTTTGTCTTCTGGTTTCATTGGGAACACTATCTTCAGAATCTGAGTCATTTGTACTGCTTGCATAACCATTGTTGAAGGTTCTAGAACGTGTACGGACTGTATTTATGAAGAAACTCCTCACRCTCATTGTATCAAGATAGTGGTTCTTGTCAGTRTTGATGGTAAYTGGWAAATCTACTTCAAGACCATCTAAATCATCTTCATCGAGAGGCTCACAACAGCTGTCATCACTACTCGAATCACCATTGATGTAACTGGTKAGTTCGCAAGGTGTATGTCCATTTGTTTCACCATTGTCCAGTGATGACAAACTTGCAGCTARTGGCTTGAAAACTTGTGCATTCAATTCACAAATTTGTACTCTTTGCTCAAAGATCTCATGCCACCATTCRTCTTTCATRGGMAGCTTCAGCAATTTTATAGGCAGCTTCTTAAGTCTTTTGATGTCRATYTCAAGAYTAGCAACATGYTCATGGTGAGCACGCTCATATACGCACTCAATAAACTCATGTTCATGCTCATAAAAACAGTGTTCATAAGCAAGTCGAAGTTTGTTGCGAAATGGTGTGTCATTGTTTTTAAACAAGATTGATAAAAGTCCTGTCATTTCYTCYAAATGATGGAAAATCATATTCTTAAGCTGGGCCAACTTGTCTCTGTATGAATCAACGATATAATCATTGAGTCCATATGAACTGCACCCAAGTCTGTCTTCAAGAGGAACTTCGTGGCTTCCTATACTGATAACACTCATTGATCCATGTATATCCATAGATGTCTCTGTCAACTGGCCAAGTGCAATGATATCCTGACATAAATCATGTACTTCASTGCAAAATTTCTTAAATGAATTACCAACTGGATGCTCAGGATTGTAGACTATCGTTGCTACTCGTTCACTCAGTTTYTGCCATTCTGGGTACCAAACATTTTGTAGAACTGAAATATATGAAATGGAGATAATTGTTAATGTTAGTGATGAAGATGTAATAATAAATGTCATTCATGAAAGAAGAAAAGATAATATTACCATCTGTAGCTCTGTGYCCTTTGGAGTCTGCATCATTARCCTCGGAGAAACCTTTTGTGTTAAGATCATTTAAAATTTCATCCAACATTTCACGTACACTCAATGCACAATTCTAGGAATAAAAAGGACAATTAATTTGATTGTTTTGCTTTGTCGATTGCAAGAACCAAGCTATGCTAATMATTAAAAATTGATAAAACAAACAACATTGTTTTCTTTTGATGGGATATGACTATAAATAGCCTGTGTACATCCCTTCTCAACCCCTTCCCCCAAACTCTACCCATAATGCATGTACATAGATTTAGATTAATTATTTACGAGTACCACTAAGAATCTACAACAAAACAGTTTTTTCTAAAATATGAGCTCACCTTCTGCTGAATTAACTCATGCCTTTCTTCTTTTATTCTTTCTAATCTCCTTCTCAGCTCAGCATATTCTTGTAAAACCCTTACAGGCTTTTTAGGTACATTTTCTTTCAGAGAATCTAAACCTTCAACAACTTGTTCTCTTGCCATCACTACAGACTCCAGCCTGCTGTTTAGCAAGTCTCTGTTTTCTCTGGCTTGATAGAGTACACCAGATGAAGACCTCTTCCCTGAATTTAGAAGTTTTTTWGCTGCTACCACTTTATCTTGAGCTTCGTCAAACTGAAAAGCAAATTAAGACATGTASTACATTGTATTATAAAACTCATTAATATTCATAAGGCAATTAAAACACAATAGAAATCRTAACYAATGAAGAGAGTTGTAAATCCAACGTTTCATAAGTAATRTACAATATTCGTGTGCTYGCTTTCAGCTTGCTGTTTTAAATCCACAAACAAATTGCCTGCTCATATTGTATATTTACTTATCATCACAGGTAACATAACATTTTGTTGAATTTACATTTCATTGCATTATAATCATCAACATCCATATTTTATGTACCTGCTTCCTGATTGATTTTTCTTCTTGCTTGATGTCCTGTAGCAATTCTTCAAGGAATTGCTTATCAAGGTGATTGTTATCCACTAGTTCCTCAATATCAGGTAAAAACYGTTCTTGTTTTGCAWACAGCTCTTCTTGGCTCTCACTGACCTCCTAATRAAATGTAAGCCATCGTAAAACTGTTTCAATATACAACTAGATCAGATAATACATACATTACACTTTTCTCTTAGCTTGACATCCAAGGCTTGGATACTTTTGACTTGCTCACTCTTGGCGTGTTCTACTTTGGCAGTGTCATTTCGATGAAATGAGACTTTAGGCAAGACRAAACAGTGTAGCATTCGCACGATGGACATACTRGAATCATCCTGGTCAGACAAACAAGAAATACAATAAATAAATGAGCAGACTGGTAAACAAAGAATCAATTAACTCAACTTTCAGTTTGAATAAACYTCCAGCAGARAAATTGTGAAATGATTTAGATGTTGTATACCTCTCCCACATCTTGTCTAGACCTTTCAATGATATTTCTTGCCAAATCAAACAGCTCATCTTCTGTATCATAACCAGAACATTCCTCATTGATGCAGTATTGGTTTTGGTTGTCATCTTCATTGGCTGAAACAATCAAGACATTAAAAATACATTGAGAATTAAGACAAATAACAAAAAACAAAATAAACAAARCAAAAATAAAAGCAAAAACAAAACAACAMAAAACAACAAACTTCATTGGCAAACTTATTGGCTTAGATGAGTGTGGAAATATGTGGCACAAATTGTTCATGCCGGCKCGCCACCAGACATGACCAGGAGGTAACCATGGCAACCCAACCATGGTCCACAACCTGGCACAAGTCACATTGACAGAGTCAATGRAGGGTCCAAAGAGAAGGGTGGGTTGGGAGTCAAAACAACACAGAGAGACTTAGTGCGCGTGCAACAACACATGAAGACACAATGTGTCCCTGCAAGCTATGGGGGCGCCCCCGCAGCTGCAAGGCATGCTAGGAAACAGGTCTTGAGTTTAACTTAGCCTAAATTACATTTAGCCACATATAATGAAGTTAACTTTGAAAATGATAATTATACTGTTTTTAAAGAATATAACATACTCATCAAAATGACTAGTTTCTGTGTTATTTGATATTCACTGGTGTTTTTTTATTACACAGGATAGGATGCAACAGGTGGTAATATTATAATATAAAACCATATTGTATAACAAAAGGAAATGAAATTAAAAGATGGGTAAAATCCATTGAGTTTTCATACTATATTACAACATTTAAGTTACTTAAATTATTGGCCAAATTTTGTCAGAGTGACAAATTGATGGTACTTTCATTTATACTGTGTTTGTAAGTGTATGTTGGTCATGATCTTTTATCAAATTTTCAATAATTTAATTYCAAGTGATATTTAGTTGTATGAAATCACTCAAAAGAGAACTATAAATGTACTCTCACCAGAATTTCCTGTAGACCACCTCAAGACACGTCGACTACAGTCAATGGAGATGGACTCCAAGATTAGAACTTTGCACCATATAGCCGGCTCTATGGGAGCAACATTCTTAAGCTGCCTGTCTCTTTGATTTCCAATGTGAGGACAGAAGCCATTCTTCAAATGAACATCAGTCAACCAGCATCTTTCATTTCCATCGTTGATAAAAACATGCATCACTTTGCGTTTGAACGAGGATCTGAAGAATCAAATAGAAATTATTTKTTCTCTTTATAAATTAAGTATTTTCTAGGCTATCATAAGTCAAATATATGAAAGACTATAAAGTTTCAAGAAAAATAATTCAATGTAAACGTTGCTACATGTATTAAAGCTTACTTAATTCTTAATAAATAATAATATATAATTATAGTATAATTTGAAAATATCCATTGTACATTCTCTAATTACAAAAATGGACAAAAATTATTTTGATTCAAAACGCGTAAATCCTATTGGAAAGGTATACTAGATATGTTTACCCTAAACAACTATTGATTTCTGTTTTAACCATTGAAAATACACTGTCGAAGACATCAGAAACGCAGGAAATACACATTATGGCTGGATGCGCTTCTCCAACAACTTAGTAGTCGAGTCAGTATTTTTAAATAAAATTATTCCAAGGCAGTTGACCTTAGCTATGGGATACCAAAGTCGCTAAAAGAAAGCATCACAAGTTACGACAAGTTGCAAAACAAGCAGAATGTGCATGGTCACCTTTTTAGATGAACTTCGACAGGATCARATTTCCATCTTCATCAAACTTGTGGAGTTATTATTTCATTATTATGAAAATGAAAAATATGTTGTGAGTTATATCATATATTTTGACAGAAAACTTTCATTTTAGAACGATCAACGATCAAAATTTCAACTTCCTACAATCTTGTTGTTGTGCAGGATCCAGGAAATGATTAATTCTCCTAAGCTACAAAGGRATTCTGGGTAAATATTTTCAACAGGAAGCCCAAACGAATGTACAATTTGATGATTACGGAATGTAACTCTTAACGATTAAATACTAATAAAAATGTTTATATATTTATAACACATAAATACTAGTAAAAAATGAGCATGATGCTTCCAAGGATGTTCTTAGATCCTATTCCATAGAAAATGTTGACAAGGAGTTTTTATCACATACTATTTTCATCTAAAAACCCAARATTACAGACATCTCTTTAATTAAATTTAAGGCAGAAAACCAGATAAAGACAAAGTCTCCATAAAGACATTTTAGCAGATACGAGAGAAGATATATTGGGTTTCCTGTGTATCTAAACTGCGCATGATCATTAATTTCCCGCCAAAAAGTACATGACGTCTCATTGTGTATGTACATTTTAATTTTCGTCGAAAAATGCTTTAAATACGATCGATGCGCCATTGCATTTATCGTGCGGTAGTATTATGTTTTTAAGATTCTTTCAGAATGTTACTATCCCTAAATGAAGTATTTCTGGACTAAATTTTGTTCAAAACGTGTTTGCGTGATATTCAAAATGGCGGACTTGTCCTCGCATGTGATCTATAAACAAAGTTGAAGCAAGCTCATGGCAAAATTGAGGCAAAACAGTATAACTTTTATTAACTGCGATAATTCTAAGGAGGAGCATTTACGGGAAGCGGCAAAGTTCGCAGGTAAAGAAGATATCGATGTCGTTTGGATCCATGCGAAGGATGTGCAATCTACAGGTTTTGACAGTTCTTCTGTGATAGTGCTGGATCCGTTTGAAGGCAAACACTTTGACTATTTAAAGTCAAAAAATTGCCGGATATTTGGACCACAATGTATTATTACTTGTMTTGAARCCCGAAAACCATTACCAAGTCCTTCTCATCCTGTTTACAGTCTCAGTATGGAAGGAGTGTTTGCTTGCTGTAGCAGCGTTGCTAAAAGTGATAGACAAAAACTACATTCATTTGTACAGCTGATGGGAGGAGTRATAATTAGGGATTTTACAGATGCTGTAACTCATCTTATTGCTGGAGAAGTTGGTTCTAAGAAGTATGTTGTTGCATGTAGCGAGGGGAAGAAGATCATGTTACCAGACTGGGTTTATGCTGTTTGGGARGAAGGGAARGACAAACATGTATTGGCCACWGATGAGMAATTTGATAAGTATAAATGCCCAATATTCAAAGGGTGTACTATTAGTGTAACTGGTCTTGATGCCGCTACTCGTCAAGATGTCAAACAGCAATGCAATGCTAATGGRGGAACATACTCCGGTGARTTAAACATGAATACATGTACTCACCTACTTGTCAATGTACCCAAAGGAGACAAATATGAATTTGCCCGCAAGTGGAGTATACATTGTGTTTCAACGCAGTGGTTTTATGATTGTGTCAAATCTGGATTTTGGTTGGATGAAAGTAGCTATGAAACTCTTGCAGATGAAGAATCACAACTCTCACAACCAGGCTCAAGACTTCATRTCAGTCAAACAGCTAGCTCTACTGTTTTGTCTACCAGATCAAGAACAAGTCARTCAAACACAAAAGCTGCACAGGCTGCATACAAAAGTGCTCAGACACGTGGAGATGGAGGATTGATCGCTGATAACAGAACTAAAGGAAACACAACTTTGACATCTGATGGTACATCAAAGAGTTCATCTTCATTGCMAGACTTGGATCTTACTTTCAATATCATCCCAGGATGTATGTTTCTTGATGGTTGTAAGATCTTTTTGAGTGGGTTTGATGGTGTTGTGTTAGATAAACTAAGAAARGCTATCAATGCAGGGGGTGGAACAAGATTTAATATGATCAGTGAAATTGTCTCTCATGTTGTYATTGGACAGAAAGTAGCAAATGATATTGACATCTTACAGAAGTGTGAATTTCACCCCTACATTGTTACTGCACATTGGATTATCGACTCGGCAAAGAATGGRAAGCAGATGTCTGAAGAAGGTAAGAAGATTAAAAGCATTGGTTTGGAGTGTAAATTTCACTGTAGAAGAATATTATTCCATTTGTTTCTCTTTTTTGTATAAAATTCAACTAGATAGCATATAAGACAGATATATATACTGAAACTATTTTTGTTTGACAAAGAGAAATAGTTATTGGTGTTTATAGTTGTTGACTATGTCATGATATATTTTACAATGTTTCAATATTTTGTTTCAACTTTAGACTACATTCATCCAGATTTCAAGTTAGATACAGAGAAAACTCCAAGTTACAAAGAAAACAAGAAACCTACAAACAGCAATGCATCAAAGTCTAACAATGTCAGCCTTAAAACTAGCAAAAAGTCTTCTAACAAGCAACAGAAGTCCCTCAGGGCTGAGATTGAGGATGARCTTGAYGATGATGAAGTATTCATGCAATATACCTCACAAATTGATCARCAAACAAAACCTGCTTCAMYTCAGCAACACAAGGACTCAACTGTCAATCAACWTGATGRTGATGATGATGATAARACTGACGATGATGATACAACSATTGATGACARTAGGCTACTGGCAGGACTCAGTTTCGTCATTATGTCATTTTCTGGTGAACAAGTTGCACATCTAGAAAAGCTTATTGAAGATAATGGTGGTGATGTTTCTACAGAGAAGRAAGTAGACTATGCTATTCTACCCATGAATGTTGTGTGCTCAGATAAGAATGCAGCAAAAGAAATAGTAAGTGTACATGTAGATAGATTTACAAACAGAATAACAACTAACTAGAAACAATGAAAAGTTATAGTGCTTAGAAAGGAGGTTATTCGGGTTGAAAGACTCTTTGACTAACAGCTAAAAATTATTATGTTTGTTAGGTGACATTTTGCTGGCTGGAGCAATGTCTACAAGACAATACTCTATTGAATCCTGACAGTAGTTTCCTGTTCAGATGTTTTCTTATACCTGAAGATATCTCCCCGTTGAAAGGATGTGTTCTGACAATAAGTCAATATCTTGGTGTTGAGAGAGATCACCTRATGCAGCTAGCAGAGCTACTAGGTATTACAAATATTAATTATTTTAAACATAATTACTATAATAATTGACCTATTTCATTATGACGTCACAGTATGTTTACATCGGAAAACGATGCTCAAAAACAGTGGCAATTTGGACCCATTTATATTGTCGACTAAAGTAGAACTTCAATGAATCGTGTTTTGATATATATCATGTATAAATGATTGTTCATGTACATTTTATTTCAAATGAAGTCACTCTGATCCCTTCTGGCGACCATAATCCTTAGCGTTAAAACAATAGAATGTTTTGATGTGACGTCATAATGAACTAGGGCAATTTACATGTATGTTTCAGGGATTTGCAATGTCTTAAATGTGTCAACAGCTTGTAATTTTATATCCAATGCAAGATAATATTGACTTGATATCACTCTCTGAATATCATAATAAACTTTACCATAAAACCCACTTGCTGTGATCTATGATGCCAGGAGTAATAAATAATAAAAATAACGAAAATCTGTCTACAATCTTAAGTTTAAACATGATTAAAAAGTGTGAAAGATGTGAGCTTGTTTATTGATTTTGTTGTGATTTAAGGTGCCAAGTGTCAAGAGCATTTTGTCCATAAAGCTAACATGAAATACTTAGCAAGCACCCATCTACTATGTCAAGAACCAGATGGTAGTAAATAYCATGCWGCATTGAAGTGGAATATCCCTACTGTCAACAAACAATGGCTTTTTTCTTGTGCAAAGAATCTATCATTACAACCTGTAGAAAAATATCCTGTCAKTAATGAAATTGTACACACAGTCAGCCCCAGTAAAGAAGAAATGTCTACAGTACAGAACCACAAAACAGCAAATCCTGAAAAAGTACCTAAGTGTAGTTTGGAAAAGGCAGGAGAAGGGAGTAGAACACCCATAGGAAGACAACAGCAACAGACATCAACTGATCCACAGGCATCCAATACTGCAATTCAATTGCTTAAGAAGCCTTTTAGACCATCCTTTGATTTAGCTGATGCTATGGAGGAACTGGAGTCTCCTTTAGTCCCTAGTTTACGGTCCAGGAAAAGTCGTGCCAGTCGTAATAGCTTTCCTTTAGATGACTTTTTCCAGGAACACATTCAACAGGCTGTTAAAAGGACTGGTAATCTTGGACCTGGTGTGTCTAATTTAGTCAAAGGTGATCAGGACGGCAGTGATTATGGTGAAGATAATAAGGTATCGTGTTTACATGCATATTACTTACTTTTCCTTTTCTTCAGTTTCTTGTCAATTTTCTTAATAATTTTTGTCATTATTTTCTTCCTTTTTTCCCTTATTTGAATATTACTTTTTTTTCCCTGGGCTTTCCTACATTTRTTGTGCTTTCTTCCTTTTCTCTGTCCTTCTTTTTCTCCTTTTTACTTCCATGTAAAAAGTAAGTTTCAAACCCAATGTCAAGAAGTGCATCTTTTTTAAATTGTTGTTCAGTTGTATTGAATATTTTTAACTTCAATTTAGGAAAAAGAACAAGAAGAAAGAGGAATTTTGCATGGTGTTGTTCTAGCAGTTAGCAAGAAACTGCACARCCAGCAAACAGAACTGTATGGTATTGCCTCAAGTCTTGGGGCTGATTATAGATGGGTGTTTGACAACTCATGCACCCACCTAATACATCAGGTATTATATGATTGGATAAAAGGGATTTCATTGTATATTTTAACCAATAGGATAACATTTTGTAATTATCTTTCAGGGCAGAACCAATGATACAACCAAAGAATACACTACTGCCAAAGAGCATCATAAAAGCATTGTCTCACCTCATTGGCTGCATGCTTGCGCTGAGGCGAATGAAAGAGTTGATGAAAAACTTTACCCTCATACATACAATCCCAAGTTGTCTTTACAAGGGGTGACCAAAGGTCGTAGACTCACTAGGTCTTCTAAGGTAGTTTGTATGTACAGCCTTCTTTGAAGTCATGACWYTAATCTTRGTTTTGTYTCCATGAGCTGACAAGCAAATTAATTTTTTTGTGTTTAGACTGAGCTTGATGTCACTATTCAAAATGGTTCCATGGTCATTGAACTGCAAGGTGGAAAACAAGAGAAGCAAAGCAGTGAAGATAGAATTACGACTGATAGCAGTAGTCGTTTTAGTGAAGAGTCCAAAGGGAGTAAARACACTTCACAGAAGAATGATAGTGAAACMTCAGATCCTAAAGACGACCTACAAAAACAAATTGAAAATTTCATATCCGCACAACAGAAGGTGAGACTTTTATACTCTTAACCCTYTCAACAACTTACATTATGTTAKCAACACTGACCTTGCAGACACCCCTATATAGTTACATGGAATTGTTATCTGTTTTCATTAACWATAGTATTTCGATGTTTTTTAGGGTGTAAGAAGTCGTAGGAGAAGTAGAAGGCAGACATCAACCAGTAGCTGTAGTAACCCTCACAATTCTGTTATTCCTTCATGTGAAGGTGAAAACGACAGTAGAACAACTAGTATGTACTCTTCAAGACTAAGAAACCGTAATTATGATCAGGTACAGTAAACTTCAAAAACTACAACATTAGTGACATAATATGCTGCACAAAATATATACAATAAAATTAAGGCTATAAATGATTTACAATAAAAAGACGAAGTCATCATCAGAATGCACAGCATTGGTATATTACACATACTGGTATTATGATTTTGCCTAATGATCTTTTTGTYATTTCATTTTCAAGAGAGAGTCGGACCCAAGAAATGGTCGTCATCAATCAGAYGAAGCTGAACATTCCCAAAGTGACACCATAACTTATGATGACCCTGCTGGTAGACTGGAGAGAGAACGTATCATGGCAAGAATGAAAGGAAATAGTCCCAGTCCTACTCCTGATGATTTGACAGATGATCCTGATCATAATGATGATAATGATATTGATGATAACAAAGTGGTGAGAAGCATATCTTTGTCAGGGTTATCACTATCGATGACTTGATAAGTACATATCWCACACCATAGACCATGCAACCAATATCTCATGGAAATTGTTAGTCTATTGCTGACAAATATGCAATAGCTTTTTGTCTTTCTGATTACCTTTATTGTCTATCAATATCATAATATTATTGCAAACTGTCAGAGAAAGTATTTTTTTTTTCAAACAGTCTAAACAAAAGATCTTATTTACGATCTGATTAACTTTCCCAAACATGTACACAGCCACCATGCAGTCTCATTTCACTAGCTAATCAAACCAATGTAATTCTGTTTATTTTAAGGGTGAAGAAATAGCCAATGCAGCTAAGGGACATGCAAGTTTAGAGGAACAAATAAATGCCAACAACAGTAAAGATACTGACTCATCTCAGTCAACACAGACCCCTGAAGCACCTCCATTAGCTCTTCATTTGAAAGAAGTGAACAAACCTACACCACAGAACTTACTTAAGGTACAGCACGCTCCGTTTACTTTGTTTTGCATTTTTCACTTATTTATTCATTTCTCCATTTATTCATTTTTTTTAATTCATCGGCTTGCCCTTTAATATTGAAATGACAGTGAAGTCACTTCTGGCCTTGCAGACGATCARACACCTATTCAATACTCTAGTTTCGAGATCTTATTTGTGCAGCCTTAACCTCAAAAGCATGTGATATAGTCTTTTATTCAGCAGAGATCCTATTGTAATGCACACTCTGTGCGCAAAGAAGACAATAAAAATTTATGCTTGATTGAATCTAAGCTTGYTCAAAAGAGAATTCGAAACTGGAGTATTACTCTCTGCCCCAATGAAATGACTTTAAAAATTACAGTTSCAAAGGTTCCCATTGTAACAAGAGTTGACCTCTTTTGATATATTATGCTCATTTATACAACATTAATAAATTGATTGTCTTGTTTTAGGATCTAGATGAAAGTCCATCCAAAGTTCGTCAAGAAGTGTTGAAGTTCCAATTGTCTGCCATGACACCCCAAGAAAAGACTGATTATTCTTACTTGATAGAAGAGCTTGGTGGGGTGGTGTATGATACACAGTATTTTAAGACAGATTGCTCTCATGTTGTTGTTGGAAAGCCTAACAGGTATATTGTGTTGATCTTGTGTTCATTGTTCTTCTGTTTTTCTTCCTACTTTCATCCCATCTTCTACTTTTCAAAGGGCCTCCTTCGTTTCGTCTTTTCCTCACATTCCTCTTTTGGCTGTCTTTTCATTTTCTTCTGTTTCTCCTCCTACTTTCCCCCCTTCTCCTTTTCAAAGGGCCTTCTTCGTTTCGTCTTTTCCTCTCATTCCTCTTTTGGCAGTCTTTTCATTTTCTTCTGTTTCTCCTTCTACTTTCACCCCTTCTACTTTTCAAAACGCCTCCTTCGTTTCGTCTTTTTCTCTCCTTCTTCCTCTTTAAAGGCGCTCCATCTTTTCTTCTTCGTCGCCATGTTGTTCTTGTTCTTTCTCTTTCTGTACCTTGTCCTTCTGCATCTTCTACCCCGCCTTCCTCTTGATATCTTCCTAAAACAGTATCCAATCCTCTTCATTTAGGAATGAGAAGTACTTAGCAGCAATGGCAGCAGGCAAGTGGGTTCTTCACAAGTCGTACCTTGAAGACAGCAGACAAGCAGGKTATTTTGTTGAAGAGGAACCTCATGAATGGGGAACTGATGTACCRGGAGAACAACCCAACAAACTTGCGCTAGCAGCAAGAAGATGGAGACTRAAACTYAAAGAACAAAGACAGGTAGGTAGCTGTGGCTTAGYGAGCGCTGAATGCGGCATTGATTGATAGAGAATGTCTTCCTTGAGATGGCAGGARATCGTCACATTTCTCATTGAYCTATTCCCATTATTTGCAGATCTCTGATGATAAGRACCTCGGYGCGTTCAGYGGTTGGCGTGTATTACTCTGCGTAGATAAACAACGTCAAGCAGGTTTTAAGAGGCTTCTTGAGGCGGGAGGAGCTTGTGTAGTTGGTAGTCGTCCACCTTTCAATAGCATCGACAATGTYTCACATGCATTTGTTGGTAAGTACATGCACACGGTAGTTTACTTACTCGTTTGTTCATGTATTAGTTAATGGAGAGGTATTGAAAGTCAACCTGCCCACATTCTTGCTTTGCAAATTGAAACAAAAGATATCCATCTAGAAAATTGTCATGACTTTGTATCCAGTGTGCGTGCAATAATAGAAACCTTCTTTCAATGATATCTATGATTGCAAGCACAGCAGTCGTCTAATTCCGTTACAAAGAAACGGGTACGTTTCAAGATGGCGCATCGGACCAACGTGAAAGAGACTTAGCTTTATGACAAATCTTTCCTTGTTGTGTTCCAGATTCTAATAAGATGAAACCAGGTACTCTGGACATCGATAGCTTGTATAATGCTGGTATCTGGCTGGTTAAACCTGATTACATTGCCGAGTTCTTGATGCATGAYCCAGARCCACATCCAGGGCGTTACCTAATCCCTGAAGCAGCGAGGCTAGCGGACCCTAACACTTCAGTCCAGAGAAAAAGAAAAGGMGACGACATGTGTACTGACGAGAAGAGATTACGTATGGAGTGAATCGTGATGATATCTTGGAGTTACTATAGAATCTGTTATATTAATAGATTATTTGGATATCAGTCATAGTTTTTTATTGATAAATAGTCTTAACTTTTCATTTAGTAGATTGGTAGAGTGCTCGCACTAAATGCATGAAATATAACTACTACAAAATAGGTGATAAATTATACAAATTCCTTTGTTTCCTATTGCATAATCAACACTATTTAGTAGTAATTAGTACTATTTGTTTCACGCTTTAAGTGCGAGCACTCTACTAAGAATAATAATGATAGATTGAGTTTCATAATATAAAGTTTATATTGACATCACTGGACTTCAATATTGTGATAGTTAATGTGTGCTCCAAGTTGACCCCCAAATCTTACTCACTCAGTAGAGGTCGAGTGGACTACAACTTGATAACCTAACAATCGTCCACTTCTTTTTCTAAAATCRAGAAGCATTTGTCATTCACAAACTTTTGTACATAACGATTTTAARATTGTATTAAACTTGTTATTAAATGTATGTCATAACTCTTATCTCGACATCATTACATGAAAGGAGCTAGGGCGTGGCGATTGACGTCGTCATGCGCATGAATAAACATAACTTCCGTTTCGGAGAACTACAAAAGACATATACAACGGAGATCAATATTACCTGTCCTCCTCGTGGCTCTTGGGACCTCAATTGCTCTCAGAACGTTAAACGTTGAATAATAACATTATCCAAATAATCGGCCCCAGTGTTTTTGCTCCCAGACATCCCATAATTTCTTAAATCTCAAGATGGCAGCCATAGAAAAAAATCAAGCTTCTATGTACACATTACGTTTACGCCCATCGTTTGAGAAAAACTGTGGTTATGCCTTGGTTTGGCTGGACGAAACCACCAAAAAAGTATGACGCTACTTAGCTGAAGGCCTGCTCGCACGGTCTTATATTAAAAGTGCAGCGACAGCAGTCAGCGAACTCGGGATCCCATTTCGATCGTCGACTCGACGTATAAAATAATATTTTTTTGGCTTCTTTATTTCTTTCTTTTTAATCGAAACAGTTTTTGTAGTCTGTTCATTTTTTTCAGTAGATATTTTTTTATTATTATTTGCGAGCCGTTTTTGTGACGAAAAGGCTTATATGGGGCTTCTCGTCAGTATGTCATCGTATGACCGAACAGTAACCATCTGAATTGCGAGTCCTTGATATGTTTAAGTTGAAAAGAGAAAAAAAATATCTAGAGAAAAACAGACAAAGTAACAACAGCAAAGAAAAAGAAGAAAAGAAAAAAAAAAGAAGAAAAGAAAACAAGCAAAAAAGAGAAACTCCAGCAGCAGGACTCGAACTCAGAACTTTCACTTCAGAAGAAGACGTAACCCCCCCTGGCATACATAAGAAATAATGAAAATAAAAAACTAAAAAGTTGGGACGATTCCCCCGAGACATTCTATGAAGCTGAGGCGGCGAATCGGCTTACGTTACGGTTAGAGATTTCGGCCCTTCCACGCTATCCCGAGTGAACATAAAACTTAGTCTTAACCAAAAGGCCAGGGAGTGAGGGGGTAGCCGCCCACTAGAGCATACCTTTAGCTACCCTCTTAGACCATCGTACTATGAAGACACTTANTGCTTTCTTGGCCCCCTTTGAATATTGTTTGGGTTGCCTGTGTCTTCTCGACCCAGTCCTAACGGGATGTCAGTATTCAAAATGGCGGCATCTTCGCAAAATTTTCCTTGGTTGGAATCGCTCAAAACTGCAAGAAAAACCAACCTAGTACAAGATGGTATGCTCTTTTTAACATTTGAATATATTAAACATAAATTTCTTTACAACATAGGTATCTTGAATTTGATTTTCACTGAATCTGTTTTGTATTGAAAAGTAACATTTAAGCTTATTAAGTTTCTTACTAAACTGACAATGCAAGAAAACGTCAGGGCATTTAATTAACTTGAGGTACTGCAGCTTAAAATGTCTAAAAAAARGGAAAAAGCACTGTGTTAATATTATCATATGGCTGTGTACGCATTCATTACGTTTAATCGTATTTACTTTGCACATTTTCATTTAGCTGACATTCTTTAACAATAAGTTTTTGAATAAAAGTTTCATTTCGTTTTCTTCCCTAGGGAAGAGAAAAGTCCATTATACATTTCCAGATCATACTGAAATGGTTGAAGAATATTCTGTGTCTTCAGGTGAACTGTTAGGTATGTTAAGGTTTAATATTTGTGTATAAAGTAGTTGTCATGACAACTCTATCAGCTATTTCTATTCCCATTGCAGTAAGGAAATTTAAAAAGAGAAATACAATTGGGAAAGAAGGAAGATGGGAATATGAAGTTGGGGAAGAGCTGCTGCAAGGAAATTCCCAATCAGAACATATTATGGAGAGTAGGAGTAATGTGTGTAAATTAATCTTTAATTTGTATTATTTTAATTATTTTTCATTTGAAATAATCCATGGTGTACTTACAAGGTTTAATTTATGATTTATTTTAGCCAATAATAGCAAGAAAAGATACTTTAAAAGCATTTCAATGGAGAATCCGAAATCTTCCTTACCCTATTGAAGTATACAGTGTAAATATCAATGACGATAAAACCAATATCATTGTCAAAACAACAAATAAAAAGTAAGCTATKTTTATCAGTTTAAGAACTGTACGTAATCATGTAATAAGTAGTAACTTATC